GACCTGACTTCTTGTGTGCTTACTTGTTGGAGGGTTTCTCGTCTTTCAGGTGGTTTGTTGCTGGCTCCCTGGTAGGCTGGCACAGCTGGTGGCCGAGATTCTCCTCTGTGGTCAGGTCTGGTAGCGGTTCCTCGGGGTGCCGTTTCCTGTTGACGCAGCAGGGACTCTAGTCTGGCTCGAGTTCTTGCAATCTCATCCCTTAGCGGCAGCTCTTCCTGCTGTGGGGCTGTCGCCATTGCGGGTGGACCCATCTGGTTACCATCAGTGGTTTGGTTCGTTGGGTTTGATGGTGTAGCTACAGTGGGAAGATCTCGTGATCCAGATGTTGCGACGTAAACTCTCTGGCTGTTCGACACATCTGGCCGTTGAGCTGCTTCTCCTTGTCTACTCAGTCTTGGGGGGCTTGCGGATAGCCGTGGCGCTCGTACCTGCTCACATTGAAATGCACTCTGGTTGTCCACGTAGGCCTGCACACGGCTACGCCGGTCTTCATTCTCCAGTTGTTCCCACTTGGGCGAGAAGGTGGTGTGTTGGAGTGTTGTCTGAAGGCCTTTTGCTCTTGCCATTTTGTCTGCCACTTCTCATTGGCTTTGTATGAACTCAAGCTTGTCTTGAGCAGCCTTTATTCTGGCCTCCATTTGAGCTGCTTCAGCCTCCTGTTTGGCCTCCATTTCAGCTGCTTCGGCCTTTCGTCTGGCCTCCATTTCAGCTGTTTCGGCCTGTTGTTTAGCCTCCATCTGCGCTGCTTCGGCCTGTCGTTTGGCCTCTATCTGCGCTGCTTCGGCCTTCTGTTTGGCCTTCAGTTGAGCTGCATCAGCCTGTATCTTTGTCAATTCTTCCTTTTGCAGTTGCTCCGCTTCTAACACGTGAAAGACTGCATTGGCAGCTTCAGCTTTGATGTTAGCTTGCTCTGCCTTTGAAACTCGGGAGGTTTGGCTATGACGAGAAGATGCTTTTGAATGGCGGGAGGCGCCTGTAATGTGAGATTGTTGTGACACGCTGGAATACGCCTGGGCTTGTGGTGAGTTCTGGTGAAAGGATGAGGCCTTTCCAGAGGTGTGAGATGGAGCCACATGTGATTGCTGGGATGGTGCATACGAATGGCGGGAAACTTCGGACTCGGCCCTCTCGACTGGTCTGTCTTTCGTGTAAGGCTTGGGCTCCGGGTGAGGTTTTAAGCTCTCTAGAAGCTTATTACACTCTTTGTTTTTTAGCTTGAGGCTTTGCATCATGCTATCGACTGTTGGCTTCTGGAGACAGAAAGGAGGGGAGGAGGGGGGTGGCTGCTTCAGTTCGAAGATCCCTTAAACAAAGTTTCTCGCAACTAAACAACATCTCCTTTCTCTTCCTTTCAAATGCGAAGTGGTGACAGAAAGGTGGGGGCTAGGTTGCATACCAATCTCTCCCTTTGGCTTTGCGTAAAGACACAGCTTCAGTCTTTCACTCCATTCAAACAGGGCATAGAGAATAAACAAGAGGGGGGAATCGCCCGTTCTGAACCTTAGACAAAGGCAAAGGAGGTTTTTGACATGCTTTGAATTACCAGCAGATTTTCAGAAGATACACAGTCTATGACAACCTCAAATAGCTCTCTTTCTTCTGAATTAGCACTTTGCAACAGGCAGTAAAGAGCTTTGTGGTGCAAGAAAACTTTCCAGCCCATAATGCGAAGAGTTAAAGGCAGATGATACATAGATAATGCTGATTTTACTATTGATATGGAGAATATTATTACTTTTTTACTGTTCTGAAACCTGAATCAAGATGCTTTTTAATCCAAGGTCAGACAGATGACTCAATAAAGATAATTGTAAAACAGACATTTATTCAGGAATACTGCTGAACTCACGTTTCTTGGTAGTTTCATCTGGATATTGCACATCTGTTCATCCTTATAGGTAAAAAATTAATAATTCCTTCATATCAACTTCTAGTGTGGAATGGGACCATGTGTGTCCTGCGGTGGTCCCATGCTTATCTCAGACAAAGGCATTCCAAACTGGCACGTAGCCAGGATATCCTGTGATGAACTTTAGTAGCTCCTCCTACTGACCTGTCAACATGGGATTAACTGACTAGCTAAACTACATTACCCATAAGCCATCTCTTAAGGAGACAGCGCTTAACCCAACAAATGCCAAACATTCCAACATACAGATCTATATGATCTAGTCAGGGTTACATTGATCCAGCACATATATATATCTTTCTCTTTCCTCTCTCTCTCTCTCTCTCTCTCTTTCCTCTCCCCTCTCTCTCTTTCTCTCCCCTCTCTCTCTCTTTCTCTTTTTCCTCTCTCATTCTCTTTCTCTTTCCTCTCTTTCTCTCTTTCCTCTCTCTTTCTCTCTCTCTTTATCTCTTTCCTCTCTCTCTCTCTCTCTTTCTTTCCTCTCTCTCTTTCTCTTTCTTCTCCCTCTCTTTCTCTCTCTTTCCTCTCCCTCTCTCTCCTCTCTTTCTCTCTCTCTTTCCTCTCTCTGTTTCTCTCTTTCCTCTCCCTCTGTTTCTCTCTTTCCTCTCCCTCTCTCTTTCTCTCACTTTCTCTTTCATCTCACTCTCTCTTTCCTTTCCCTCTCTCTCTCTTTCCTCTCCCCCCCTCTCTCTCGCTCTCTCTCTTTCCTCTCTCTCTTTCTCTCTTTCCTCTCTCTCTTTCTCTCTTTCCTCTCCCCTCAGTATCTCTGGTTGCCCCTTTCAGTGACTCTGGGCAGCTTACAGTTCAGAAAGAATTCGGGCAAGTGGTGTTTCGAAGGTCAGGCTAGGGCTCGGTCAGGCCCTCGCGGGGCGCAATTAGGGGTGGCTCCGCTGAGTCCCAGGCGCCTGACTCACGGAGGAAGCCGGCCGGGAACCCACAATTAGCGGGCCCACCAGGAGGTGGCTGACGTGGATACCCCTCCGGCGGTCAGGCGGCCCCCGAGCTCCCCGCCGAGCTGCACGAGATTCCTGGCCAGCTGGCCACGGGGTAGGAGCGGCTCCCTTGCCGGGGCCGCTTGGCCTCCCCGGCCGGCCGGCCAGCCCAACCTTTCCAGGGCCAAATCCTGCAGGAGGGTGAGCCGGGCCAGGCTGGGCGGCGGGAAAGGAGGCGTGCTGCGATTCACACAGTCCCGGTCCCGGTCCAGAGGACCACCCCTGCCCCGGTGGACAGGAGGCTGTGAGGGGGAAGCCCCTTCCGATGCCCAGAAAGCAGCGTTTCCTCTCCTGCTCCGGGCGTGGGAAAATGGGCGGAGGTCCCGGGAAGGCCAAGCATGGGGGGGCAGGAGGCAGCAGAAGGCGCCCGGGGCACCACGGACCGGACCGGAGAGACGCGTGGCCGGCTCGGCTGCCAGGGAGTGGCCCAGGGACAGCCCAGGGAGCGATGCCCCCGCTGGCCACTGCCCCAGCCGGGACTGCCGCCTGGCCCGGCCCGGCCTGGCGAGACGCCTGGTCAGCTCGGCTGCCCAGGAAGCAGCCCAGGGACGGCCCAGGGAGCGATGCCCCCGGTGGCTGCCGCTCCAGCCAGGACTGCCATCCGGCCCGGCCCGGCGAGACGCGTGGCCGGCTCGGCTGCTGATGGAGTAGCCTGGGGACAGCCCAGGGATCGATGCCCCCGCCGGCCACCACCCCAGCCGGGACTGCCGCCCGGTCCGGCCCGGGGAGACACGTTGTGGCTTGGCTGCCCGGGGACAGCCCATGGAGCGATGCCCCTGCCCCCACCGGCTCAGCCGGGACTGCCATGATGATGATGATGATGATGATGATGATGATGATGATGATGATGATGATAAAGCAGGCTGCCCATGAGCCAATCTACACTGCTGTGGCAGCCACCTGTGCTGGCAGCAGCAAACAGGCAAGAAATGCAGTGGGGGAGCGGTCACCCTCCAAGAGGAATGAAAAAAGGCAGCAATGGCTAGAGGTGAGGCACGAGGGAGGGAGATGGAGAGTGGAAGGATTCTTATGTGCTTTTGTGACTTTGAAGTTCTGGGATTTGTGCAATGTGGGCTTTGTGTTCTTAAGGAGTGTTTAGCAATTTCTATTTGGCTGATGTCTCATGTTAACTTCTATTGCTCTGCTGTTGTTAGCTGTAAGTTTTGCTGCAAGGGATTTTGAAGTATTTTTCTCCTGAATGGATTTTGCCTGTAGCATTCCTTTACTTATGAATGGAGCCATTTGGGGAGACTGCCTTAGCCGGCAGCCAGTACTTACATTTTTTTTCTTCCTTAAGTGCCGGCTGCTTAACTTTCCTTTCTAGCCAGTAGTTAATTCTTAAAGGGGAATGTGCCTTTTTAAGCTAGTTCACTCAGCAGCTTGTCTTTTCTGTCTCTGGAGGCCTTTCCTTGTTTGATCAATATATGGAAGAGGGAAAATATGGGGGGGGGGGGGTTTCAAATTCTTCCTTCAGAAGGAGATGGGAATGAGAAAAAGGGAGGCAGGGAAGGGAGGGAGGAAAGGAAGTCCCGCCTTAGCACTTGGCCTTCAGCAGCTCTGCCATTGACTTTGCTTGTCAAAAGGTTGCAGAAGGGGATCACATGACCCTGGAACACTGACCATTATAAATATGAATCAGTTGCCAAGCATCCAAATATAAATCACATGACCCTGGGCATGCTGCAATGGTCATAAGTGTGAAAAATGGTCATAAGTCATTTCAGTGCAATTGCAACTTTGAACAGGGTTGGTTTTTTTTGGTCATCAAGTTTTTGACACCTTGCTAGGTGGTACTCGAATATTGTCTTATCCTAAAAGTGGTACAATCGGTAAAAAGGTTGAAAAGCCCTGACTTAACAGACACGTTCGCTAGATGGCTCTGCGCCTTTCTCCATCCTCTCCCCATTCCCAACCAGCTCCCCCCCCCCGATTTCCCCACAATCCCCCTCCCTCCCCCCAATATCCCGCGCGGATAAGCCCTGATGTTTTGCAGAGTCTTTCTTCACTCCATTCCCCAAACCCGTCCCTTCGCCAGCATAGGAGGGCGACGTCCAGGACGGTGAGCAGCGCCGGGCATCTGGGCGCCCTGCGAGGGAAGGATGGGGTCCCCCCAGGGGTACCGAGCTTCGTGGTGGACTTTCCTTCTGCACCAGGTGCCGCACATCAACTTCCAGTTCGAGGCGGCGGGGAGCGAATTTGCTCCAGAGGATTTGGGTTACCAGCAGGTGAGTCTTCCTCCTTCCTCCCCCCCCCCCCCCCACCACCGCCCGTGGGAACATGGGTATCGAAGGCATGGAGTGAAGAGAGACAGGACCGGGCCTCGCTAGGACAAGAGTGGGGAGCCGGCAGGCAAGGCAGCCGGGGACGGAGACGAGGGGAGAAGAGAGAGGCGGGAGGCGGAGGAAGTCAGCGGATGGATGAAGCCGGGAGAAAAGCGAGAGAAAGAAAAAAGCGGGGCGGGAGTGGGAGACTTGAATNCGAATCGAACTGCAGCGCAGCGCCCAGCAATCTTGGTGGATGGGGGGGGGAGGGAGGGAGGGAGGAAGGGGGCGATCAGGGGCAAAGAAAGACAAGAGGGGCAGAAGAGGGATAGAGAAATGGGACTCTCAGAATAGGATGGGGCAGAGGCGAAGCGTGCGGGGCAGAGGGAGGGAGGGAGGGAGGGAAGCCCCGGGGCAGAGGAAAAAAAGTGAGACTCGAAGGGAGGCAGGAGGGAGGGAGGGAAGGGCGAGCCAGCCTGGTTTCTGGGAAGGCTTGGGAAGGGGTAGGATGGACTGGAAAACCCGAGGGGGGAGGCGGTGAAGGGAGGGGCGAAGGGATGGGAGAGATCTGGAGGGAGAGAAGCCCTGGGAAAGATGAACAGATCGGAATGAAGTTGGGGTAGGGAGAGATGGAGAAGGGATGGAAGCGGAAGGGATCAGAGTAAGGGAACTGAGAATGGGGATGAAAGGCAGCAGGATGGAGCAGCCTAGGAGACTTGGAGAAGCATCCATGATCTCCCTTGAGGTTACAGTGGGCAAGAAAATTCAGATTCTTCTCTTAAGGGAATCTGACAATGTGCAAAATTTTGGATAGCCCTCCTCCTGTGTTTGGTGACATTCAGTGGCCTTAACCAGCCTAGTGGTATCCTTTTTTTCAACCTGGCGTCCTCCAGATGTGATGGAATGTCTTTGGCCATGTTGGTGGGAATCATGAAAATCACAGATCTAACATACCGGGAAGGTGCAACATTGGGGGAGATTGCCTTGCGGGGTTACTTAGAAGTTGAGTTCTATAGACAGACTGGTCTAGAGAAGGTCCCATAGAAAGATATGTTCAGAGGAATCAAGCGAGTGTGGATATAGCTGGCAATGTTCCAACAGTTGTGTCACTGAGAAAAAGTGCTGCACGGGTTGTGGAAGTAGATACCAACCAGTGCTGTGTTTGGTGGATTCGCAAGTAACATCTCTGTTTGCTTGAAAGCAGCCATATCTAGCATAACAGAATACACGGCAGCCATACTATCTGTACCAATTTTCACAAGCCATCACTTGATGAATTTTGTCTTGGTATGTTGTGCAAACTCAGCCACTCTGCTTTGTAAACCATGATTTATGAAGTAGCAATAAGAGTGACACAGGCACTTGTAACTTTTTCAACAAGTTGTGGTTTAAAGCAAACATGGCTTAGCAAACTGGTGGGCACAAAATTACAAGCACTCACCTGTATATTTCCATTTAGCTAGTCACAATCCAACATTTTATTTTTCAATCTTTTGCTTCTTTTTATCAAATATGACCTAAGGAACTTGGGAAACTACATATCTGGGAATAGGTAGATATTTGCCCATTTAAAAATGCTCACTTTTAAAGTAATTGTGTTGTGCAAACTGCTAAAAAATACAAATGCATATAACAGCACGAATCATAGAGCAAATGGGAGAAGGAAGGGAGGGAGGGAGGGAGGGAGGGAGGGAAGGAAGGTTGATCATAAAACATTTCCCAAAAGTTCTACTATATCTTTTAGAACTTTTTTTTTGTCTGTCAGAGAAATTTTTTTTTAGTGTTGACAAACAACATATATCCATCAATTTCTTTAAATCACGTGTAGATTTCTCCCGCTAATGTTGTAACTCTTTTATCTAAACCCATCACTGAAAAAATCCACAATTCTTGATACCTTGGTAGATACCAAATCCTGGTCATATACCCAATATCACATGTGTCCTTAATATACCACTATTGATCCAAACCAGTGTCAACTCACATTGCAACAGTAATAGGACAAGACCAAATCATATGAGTTCATGTTCCAGCTGCTGAATTATATCTCTAACACCATGGTAATTTTGACCCATAAAATGTCCATGATCTACAGAACAATTCTCTTGTTGTTAATGTATTTAACATCTTGTTAAGGTCATAGTGAACTGATTTCACATTGCTTACTTTATTCTCAATATGTCAGAGTATCAGATCAGGGTTGGAAGGGAAGACCTTGGAGGTCTTCCAGTCCCCCCACCAGTCCCTCGGAGAAATGGTGGTCTAATCTTTTCTTGAAACCCTCCAGAGATGGAGCATCCACAACTCTGGAAGGCAAACTGTTCCATTGATTAATTGTTCTCAGTGTCGTGGAATTCCTCCTTGGTTCCAGGTTGAATGTCCCTCTGACCAGCTTCCACCAACTGCTTCTTGTCCTCCCCTCAGGTGCAATAAATCAACCTGGTGGTAGTCCCGGCTGGGCCGGCGGCCGGCGGGGGCATCGCTCCCTGGCCCGTCCCCGGGCCGCTCCCTGGCAGCCGAGCTGGCCACGCGTCTCCCTGGGCTGGGCCAGCGGCTGGCTGGGGCATCGCTCCCTGGGCCGTCCCCGGGCAGCTGAACCGGCCACACGTCTCCCCGGGCCGGATGGCAGTCCCGGCTGGGGTGGTGGCCGGTGGGGGCATCACTTCCTGGGCCGTCCCCGGGCTGCTTCCTGGGCAGCCGAGCCGGCCACGCGTCTCGCCGGACTGGGCTGAGTGGCAGTCCCGGCTGGGGTGGCGGCCGGCGGGGGCATCGCTCCCTGGGCCATCCCCGGGCCGCTCCCTGGCAGGCGAGCTGGCCACGCGTCTCCCTGGGCTGGGCCGGGCATGATGGCAGTCCCGGCTGGGGCGGCGGCTAGCGGGGGCATTGCTGCCTGTGCTGTCCCCGGGCAGCCAAACTGGCCACACGTCTCCCCGGGCCGGGCGGCAGTCCCGGCTGGGGCAGCGGCCGGTGGGGGCATCGATTCCTGGGCTGTCCCCGGGCAGCCGAGCCTGCCACGTGTCTCCCCGGGCCAGGTGGCAGTCCTGGCTGGGCCAGCGGCCGGCGGGGGCATCGCCCCCTGGGCCGTCCCTGGCAGCCGAGCTGGCCACGCATCTCCCTGGGCTGGGCCGGGCCGGATGGCAGTTCCGGCCGGGCCGGATGGCAGTTCCGGCCGGGCCGGATGGCAGTTCCGGCCGGGCCGGATGGCAGTCCCGGCTGGGCCGGCGGCCGGCAGGGGCATCGCTCCCTGTGCTGTCCCCGGGCAGCCGAACCAGCCACGCATCTTGCCGTGCCGGACGGCAGTCCCGGCTGGGTCGGCGGCCGGTGGGGTCATCGCTCCCTGGGCTGTCCCTGGGCCGCTCCCTGGCAGCTGACCCGGCCACGCATCTCCCCGGGCTGGGCCAGGCCGGATGGCAGTCCCGGCTGGGTCGGTGGCCGGCGGGGGCATCGCTCCCTGGGCCGTCCTCGGGCAGCCGAGCCAGCCACGTGTCTCACCGGGCCGGGCCGGGCGGTAGTCCTGGCTGGGGCGCCAGCCGGCGGGGGCATCACTCCCTGGGCCGTTCCCGGGCCGCTCCCTGGCAGCCGAGCCGGCCACGTGTCTTCCCGGTCCGGTCCGTGGTGCCCCGGGCGCCTTCTGCTGCCTCCTGCCCCCCCCCCGCCCATGCTTGGCCTTCCCGGGACCTCCGCCCATTTTCCCACGCCCGGAGCAGGAGAGGAAGCGCTACTTTCCAGGCATCGGAAGGGGCTTCCCCCTCACAGCCCCCCGTCCACTGGGTCATAAATCACTTTCAGCCTTCCATCCTTCTGAGGTCGGTAAAATGAGGACCCAGATTGTTGGGGGCAATATGCTGACTCTGTAAACCACTTGGAGAAGGCTGTGAAGCCCTATGAAGCGGTATATAAGTCTAAGTGCTATTGCTATTTTTTCAATGACGTTGCAACTTTGAATGGTCACTAAATGAACTGTTGTAAGTCGAGGACTACCTGTATAAAACTTTTGCAGAATCTTTAGTTTTGAAGAAATAAAATCTGCTGGGTTTCATTTATTTTGAGTTAAAGCAAGAACATCAGTTTAAAATCTAGTATTATAAGAAACCTGTCCGCCTAGGCCAGGGGTAGGCAACCTTGGCTCTTTTATGACTCGTGGACTTCAGCTCCCAGAATTCCTGAGCCAACATGGTTGCCTACCCCTGGCCTAGGGTAAATCCAGCTTGAGCTATAGTTGGAAAAACAGTCTGTAATGTATGGGGCCAACTTTTAATTTTTCACTTTTAAAGCCCTTCGTGGCATGGGCCCAGATTACTTGAGAGACCGTCTCACCCCACTTGGATTGACCCACTCCCGCTAGTTCTGTCAGCCTGAATATTCCAGCTGGCGGGGTCCAGGAGGAGGGCTTTCTCTGCTGTTGCTCCTGCCCTCTGGAACAGCTTGCCCCCTAATGTGAGGTTGGCCCCAACCCTCCTATCCTTTCGTAAGGGCCTGAAGACCTGGCTCTCCCAGTTGGCCTAGGGCCCCAATGGGGGAACAGCACAGTGGAGGTAGATCCCACCTCCCCCCATTCAGCAGATCCCACCTCCCCCCATTCTGCCCCCACCCTCCCCACGTGTCCTTAGGTTTTAATGTTTGGTTTTAATTTATTCATGTTTTAATGTAGATGTATTTTTTATGTCTGTAAATTGTGTCAGAGTTACTTTTTGGTAAGATGAGGGATCAATACATTTTATAAACAAACAAACAAACAAACAAACAAACTTAGTTGATAGCATCTTAGCATCTGTTTTTATCAAGCAATGAGATCTATAATGAGAACAGATAGTAGAGAATTTGCCCAGCCTTATCAAAGACTAAAAGATAGGATTTTATTTGTAAAATCTTCCTTGTGGACCTTCTATGGGAGATAGAACCCCAATATACTTTTTATGCCAATCAGTTTTTAAAACTATCTCTACCAGGAGTCTTCCAATTTC